GCTTCCGTGCATAGTGTCAATGATCTATGTAACACAATTTTAAATAATAAAGTAGACCTATTCTTTGCTGCGGAGGCAAGGCAAACATGGCTAACGCTCTGTCCCAGCGAAAATGTCCCACTGGAAGTTAACCAACAAAAACAGTGGGATATTCCGTTGGTACGGAGTGTCCAGAAAAATTTATTTCAAAATTTCTACAGTCTACAAGATCAGGCTCGCCTTCTAGCTGTTTCGACTAAGGAATCTAGCCAATGGTTACACGGTCTACCATCAAGTAATCTCGGCACATTGCTTGATGGGGAAAGCTTGCGCATCGCCGTAGGAATCGGGCTAGGAGTGTCAATTTGTCAACCTCACCAGTGCCCCTGTGGTAGCAGCGTCGATGACTTTGGACTCCACGGACTTTCATGCAAGAAAAGTGCAGGTAGGTTTTCTCGTGCTGGTTCTTTGAACGAAGTCACCCGAAGGGCTCTTGTCTCCATAAATATTCCCTCGGTTTTAGAGCTTTGCGGGATATTTAGAGACGATGGCAAGAGACTTGACGGTATGACTTTGATCCCTTGGGAGAGAGGTAAAGCCCTAGTGTGGAATGCTACTTGCGTAGACACTTTGGCAGCCTCTCATCTAGAGGCTACCTCTTTTAGAGCCGGGGCGGCATCTGGGGCAGCATATTTTTTTATATGGAATAGGGTGACAAACGAGCATACAGTCCACCTAATGGTAAGTGGTTGCTGCGGCCCATAGACATCTACATCTATCCTCCATTAAAAATCAAAATGCAGATGCGTTGTCACCCGTGAGGACTGAGATGGAATGCCTCGTTTCCAGTAAAAACGGTCTCCGGTTCTCTACACTCACCATACTAAATACAGCAGCATTAAGCTACTATTTCACGCTGGTATTCTGTGAGAGCGTGGTTCTTCCCCGGTCGAGCCGACCCATTCGTGCTACAACTATACTACTAATATAACTGCAGCGTGGCTCTACCACGTATAAAATGCAAATATGAGTCTTTGAAAAATGACTACATATTTGTGCTATTCGCTGTAAAGTATCGGACCGTGGGGTACACGTGCAGTGAAGTTCCTAAAGAAACTGTATCCACGACTGGTCGTCGCTGCTGGTGATAAGATGGTCGGTTCATTTCCCGTTCAAAGGCTAAGTAAAGTTATTCAGCGAGGAAACGCAGCCAGCGTTCTTGGCACAATACCGCGAGGAGCAGGTCTTTATGACAATTAAAAATTTTAGTTTTTCTATAATATTATAGTTTTTATATTGTGTTTTATGAATATTACCTAGGTGGATTGAAAAGTACTCGGCCTAACACAGATCCATTCAATTCTAAAAATCAAATCTACCCACATTATTTAGTTCAGTTCAGACTTGTTCATTGTGTGAAGTTCGAAACGTGTGCGATAATTAGTTGTGATTTTATAAATTTATTAACAAAGTAATCGGACATAATTTCCGCGAATGGAGCAAATCGAGCAGCGTGCCGTCATTAAGTACCTCCATAAGAAGGGGCTATCATCAAAAGCCATCCATGATGACATGGTCAGTACATTAGGCGATTGTGCTCTGTCATATTCATCCGTCAAAAAATGGATAGCAGAATTTAAGCGTGGTAGAGAGAGTGTGAAAGATGAACCCCGCTCTGGAAGACCTTCGACGTCAACTACTGACGAAAATATTAAAAAAGTACTTGATTTAATAATGGGAGACCGCAGATTAAAAATTAGAGAGATAGCCGACATTATAGGCATCTCTTATGAACGAACTCAAAACATCATTGTCAACGAGTTGGGTTTCCACAAGGTGTCTGCGAGGTGGGTTCCGCGACTGCTTTCAGTTGAACAAAAAGGACGCGATTGACTATTTCACGCGACTGTTTGGAGTTATTTGAAGCCGATGCAGATGATTTTTTGAATCGTTTTGTTACTATGGACGAAACATAGGTTCATTACTGTACACCGGAAACAAAACAACAATCAAAACAGTGGAGAAGACCTGGTTCACCACCCCCTAGAAAGGCTAAGTCGATTTTGTCGGCAAATAAGGTGATGGCTTCAGTATTCTGGGACTCGAAAGGTGTGATTATGATTGATTATCTTGAAAGGGGTCAGACTATAAACTCTGATTACTACTGCACCTTACTACGTCATTTACGAGAGGAAATAAAAGAAAAACGTCGAGGAATGCTCAGAAGAAAAGTCCTGTTTCATCAAGATAACGCCCGTGTTCACACGTCAGTACAGTCAATGGCTGAAATTCACAACTGTGGCTTTGAACTGTTACCGCATCCGCCGTATTCACCTGATCTGGCACCATCAGACTTCTTTCTGTTCCCTAACCTAAAAAAGCACTTGGGAGGTCAAAGATTTTCGACAAACGAGGAGGTCAAAGCAGCTGTAGACGCATATTTTGACTCTAAGGAAGAATCATTTTTTTTCAACGGTCTAAATGCTTGGAAGGGGAGGTGGCAAAAGTGTATTGAACTTGATGGTGATTACGTAGAAAAATAAAAATATAACTGATTTAGTATGTGTTTATTTTCTTGGTTAGGCCGAGTACTTTTCAATCCACCCTCGTAATTGCAAAAATATTGTAAAATAAAATATATGTAATAATAGTTTTATAATACATATTTGACTTTTTAACAGTTCTATAATCGGACAACGACTCCTTTAGTAGAATTGAAAGCAATATAAATAAATACAAATGTAACCGTTTGATTTGAGATTTGAACCTATTTGATTTGACAATGTTATTGATATTACGAAACGTAGAAAGAAGAGATGACCGCCATTAAAATTTCCTCTCGTTTCGTACATATAATTTTTACTATGAACGTTTCACTACCCTGAGTAATACATATATGTATGTTATTGCTCTTACATCGTAGGGAGCCAGCAATGGTTATTTTGTCGGGCACTTGACCGACAACAGATTTTTGCTCCTGTTTTATCGTTTAAATAATGGTTGGTGAAATGAGTTTTGATACGTAAAAGTGATGCGATTTGTGTATTAAGTGTCTGCACATGTGAACTATTAGAAGAAAACGACAAAACAAGTACTTTCGATGTTGATAGAAACCTCAAGTTATTTTGATCGCTTAGGCGCCTTACGAAATTGAGTGACAGTCGTTATCAACTGTCCGCTGGGTTATGCTGTCGTTAAAATCTTCCGGAAACTTTCCAATGTGGAGCATTAGCACAATATTTTAAAGAAAAAATCTATAAAAACGATGATCCCGAATAAAATGAACCCATAAGTCATGTCTTAAAAGACAAGTATCCAAACCAAAAATCTTAATAAAAAAAAGCTCACGAACAACACACACGGAAATAACTTGTCTGTGGTACCAAACCTACGCAACGCATTAATTAGGAAAAGCAAACCTGCAAGTTTCTTTTTAAACCCAGTTATTACTTTAAGAAATTCTCAGTTATTTAAGAATATAAAAATGTCTGATTGGGATACTGTAACGATTCTCCGAAAACGACCACCAAAGGCGTCAGCACTTAAAACTGAACAAGCTGTAAATGCCGCACGTCGTCAAGGTTTACCAGTTGATACAACACAAAAATATGGAGCAGGAACTAACAAACAGCATGTTATAACGAAAAATACTGCAAAGCTCGACAGAGAAACTGAAGAATTACGCCACGAAAAGATTCCTCTGGATTTAGGAAAACTTATAATGCAAGGAAGGCAGGCTAAAGGTATGAGTCAAAAAGATTTGGCGACGAAAATATGCGAAAAACCACAAATTGTAAATGATTACGAAGCCGGTCGTGGTATTCCAAATAACATTGTACTTGGCAAAATAGAACGAGCAATTGGAATAAAACTAAGGGGAAAGGAGCGTGGCCAACCACTACAGCCTCCTGGAGGAAAGAAATAACGGATTCCCTAGGAGGCGAAGATATTTCTCCGATTTGTTTATTACCTAATGATTAACTAATTTTGCTGTTGAATGTGTTTCCTATTAAATTCTAAAACGTCATTATTAACGATGTAAGCATTTATTTTCATTAGTTCTGGAATGTTCTGCCTGTGATGTTATCACCTTGAAAAAAGATTTATGTAGATACTGATCCGTTGAATATGGATATGATATGCAATAAAGATAGTTATTTAAAAGTAAATGTGGTTTGATTTAATGGATGTTTCATTGTTACAAAGATAATGTAACCACAATAACACGAGGTTATGTTAAATATACGTAAATCGTAAACATACGTAATACGTATCATAGATTACCTATTGCGTAGTATTTTTTATTAACTGGCTTTACGGCTCTGGGTTCTAGTCCTGAACCTGAATTGCGTAGTAAGTGCAGTACAGACCGAAGAGTATATAATTAACAGTAACTAAATAATGGATGAATGGGATTTTGATTCCGGCGTAGACAGAGAAACCTATAGACTAGCTAATGATTAGCGTGGCCTCGAGTGAGAAAGGACGATAACGTAATTTTAGGTTATACAATAATCTTTATGACTTAAACATATTTAGATAAAAAATTTAATTGTTCTAAGAACAGAACTGAACAAGATTCACCAATCTTAAGCTCACAAAACACTTTTCTCACTTAAACCAACTTTTAAACTCTAGATCGCTACAAACTGTCAATGTTGTTTACCAAAGTGTAGTTTGCTAAACAAAAAAATCGGCATGGAGAAAGGGACAAACAATCACACCGCTCTGTCTCATTTCTATGCAAGACGTAAATCTATCTCTTTCGTGTGCAAATGCAAAATATGCGTCTATCACAGCACAATATGCGTAGTATCCTCTTAGTAATCTGTGAGTCATAGGGTATATAGGTGTTACCGCACGAGCCATTTTGCTACAAGAGGCTTTCTGCCAAACGCACCCATAGAGAGACGATACTCTCTAGGTATATATATTAATCATAGAGTAGAGTAAGTACAGTAATCTATGGACGATACTATACCATAGGTCCATAGGACGATATTTTAAAAAACTTTTTCATCATGAAAGATCCCACTTCAGATTCGGAAGAAGAAATTTTGGTTTACGCAGAGTTTAAAGATAGTGTTAATATCGAAAAATACAAAAGTATTCACATTTTAGGCATTGACGGGAAAACCCCTATAATACAGTTGGATGATACGTTTTTTACAGGTGTGAAGCTAAAATCACAATATTTAAAAAAATGCATTTAATTTAATGCGAATTTATCACAATTCTGTTAGAGCGGAAAATTCTACTCAATTCTTTTTGTTACAATGTGTATGAGCCTTTAAGTTTATTGTTATTATTTATTTAATCTAGGTAAATACGAGAATCCATTAGGAACATACTTATTTTTTGAAGAGGACACTTCCCCATATTGTGCAGATCACTTATTTGATAAATTACCAGAAAAGAATTTGAAGTACCTTCACAAAACAACAAAGCTTTTGTGTATGGAACATGCATATGTAACTCCAAAAGAAGGCACAGGTAAAGTTAATTGGTAAATTTTTTATAGCTCATAACTTAAGATTCTTAACGCAATGCACTCAGCACTGTTTTAGGATACCAATTTTGGTTATTATCTAATAAGTATGATTATTTTGATAGACATAGTAAAAAAAATTGTAAATTGTATTTATTAGACATGTTCCAAAATGGAACAACAAACAAATATCCCACATTTAAAGGTACCCAAATAAAGTTTTGAGAATTAAACAAGTATGGAGAAAGTAATTAAATAGGTACGGTAAATAAAAACTCGCTTGCATTGAATGACGTGCAGCTTTTTATTACTATAATATTAAAGCAGGATAAAACTATAGACATCCAGTGCTTATGGAGGGAGACGAAGGAAGTGGGTAGGTTCAGAGGAAGCCCCCTATACCCTTCCCTCCTTGCAGAAAGGTATAGTTTATGAGTAATGATTTTTTTGTAAGATCATAACCTTGTTTTTTAAACAGGAATATTGACCCAAAGTTACATCTGGTTGTCTATAGACATCCGGTACTTGTTTTTGATAATGTTTTTAGTCTAGGAGGCTTGTTAGGGTTAAGCTTGAACCTATTACATTGTTATTAGATGTTGGAAATGCGTTTCAAATGAATTACAATGAAAACAAATTTCACTAAAAATTGTGTGATGACGAAACGCAAATATGTTTATTTGTTCTTGTATTATGAAGTAAATGTCCGATACTTAATTTTTTAATTTTGTTTACAATTTAGGAGTATTGTCAGGGTTAAGCTCGAACCATTTACACTGTTTTTGGATTTCGAATTAAGTCGATAAAAATAAATTTCACTAAGAATTGCATATAACAAAATGCAAATTTGTCAATTTCTTTTTTTAACACAGATACACTCATAAAAAAGTTAATCACTTGGACCCAGACAATCCATTTGTGGCTGGAGATGGGACTTATATACATACAAATTGAGTTGCAGTGGAGACCAGTAAAGAGGTTTTTTAGAAAACAAAATTATAACAATTCACATTACATTACTTCATTTTCCTACTATCATAGCAAAGCTTAGGGCAACAACACTTTATAGATAAGATTGGTTGAATTGGTTCTAAAACTGAATTAGCACACTCCTCATAGTCTTGTCTGCCCTACCCCTAGAGTTTTTTTGTAAAGCCGTAGGCACGGATGCAGAGTAGCCCCCGCCTGCTGCGGAGGCGAGCATGGGTGCCTGTGAATTGCTATGCAAGGGCGAAGGTGCTGGACTTTCCGCAGTGCTGAAGCCATTGCAGAAGTAACTTTGCGTCAATATTCCTGTATAACAAAGTGAGGTTATGATTTTACAAAAAAATTTTTACTCATAAACTATATATTTCCGCAACGGGGAAGGAATGGAGGGGCTTCCCATGACCCCCCATGACTTAGGTGCTGCGGTAAGTGCAACCCCTTCGCCCTTGCGTAGCAAAACACTGGCACCTATGCGAGCTGTAGCTGGTGAGGCTGGTAGCCTAAGGCGACCAATAAGCAAAAACTGCAAAGCTGAGCATGGGTACCTGCGATTTGCTATGCTAGGGCGTGAGGACTTCTCTCCTCTGCGTCTACAGCTTTACTAGAACACTATAATTTTGTTTTCTGAAAAACGTCTTGATTGCTCTCCACTGTGACTCTCTTGTGTATGAGTCCCATCTTCAGCTGCAAATAAATTGCAACCAAACAAATGCACCTGTGTTAAAAAAACAAATTCACATATTTGCATTTAATTATATGTAATTTTTAGTGAATTTTTTTTTCGTAATAAATTCAAAATCTGTTTTTCTCATATTCATAAACACTGTAAAAGGTTTAAGCCTAACCCTGACAAACCTAAACTGAAAACAATTCAAATTAAGTGCCCAACATCTACTTCGTAATATCAGACCAAATTGACGTATTTATGTTGCTTTATGTGCAAGTTTTCATGAAATTTATTTTTATCATAATTCAAAATGCGATTCCGACATTCAAAAATAGTATAAAAGGTTTATTTAAGCTTAACCCTGACAAGCCTCCTAAACTGAAAACATATTTAAAATCGAGTACCGGATGTCTATAGCCAACCTTAAAGCAAAGTTCGGGCTATGCTTTTTTGAAACTTTAGCAAATTTTCCCCTTTGAGAACTTCCAAGCCAAAATGGCAGTATTATTAACCACAACTAAAACTATCAACCAGATAATGATCAGATTCACCTATGAAAGGTTGGTATACAGTGTTGAATTGTGGTACATTTATTCTTTGTTATTGAGCAGCTGAGTATCTCTTTGCAATTTGTATAATCTCCACTCTATTTGCACTGGCGCTGTTATGATTACAGTGCACAGCACAAATATTATAGTAAACCTATAAACTTGTTTTTTACTATAAATTCTGAATCTCAGTTACAACACTAATGCCAAGGAAGACAAGTTAAAGTCATATAAAATTTTTCATTGTTCAAATCTGACACAAGTTCAACACCTGAAGGCCAGTATAATATTATGTGAGTTCCTTTTGCCTCATAATCCAAAGCTTGATAATTTATGATATCAATGACTTATTTTCTATTGATACAACTCAACGGATTTATGCCTGACAACATACTGTTACCAAAACACTAAACTAAAGTGTGTTATAAAAACATTATAAATTTGTATTTACTCATTCTAAGTAGAGGAATAAATTACAATTTATTTAAATCTACTACAAAACTCTAATAAGTACTAAGGCTTACGCAATTGAACAATTACAATTTTTAGGAGCTGGGAGTTTATAGAGCTGAGTCTGACTTGGGTTTGGATTAAGTTCATTTTTGACAAAATATTTATACTAAAAATGATTATGAAATTCATTTATACAATTATAACTGCTGATATATTAAAAAGTATTTGTTAATATGTAAAAAATGTATTGCACCTAATTATGTGAATAATAAAATGTTATTAAGGTCTGAAAATTAATAACATAAGCTATAGCTTATGAATTTTCTGAAATCTTATGAATCATAGACTTAATATTCATTCTGTAAATACTAGAAACAGACACAAGCTGCTCGACTCTGCCAAGTCAGTAATTCATTTTTGGGGCGATGTCTACGCCTCCACAACAAAATCCCAGAAAATATAAAAAAATTGACCTGCTCAAAGTTCAAAATATATATTAAACAAACAAACTTATTGTGTAAAGAGGGTTATTATAATATTAAGGAGTTTATGGATGATAATAACCCTGGGAATGAGGTGGTTACTACCAAGCTATTTCTAATTTATTTTGTGTTGTTAATTGTGTATCATATTACAAAATTGTAGGTTGTTATTTAAAAAAAATATCCGTTGGGTTTCTTGCTGGTTCTTCAACAGCTTAACATAACTATATCTTACCACTTATCATATATCAAAAAGACTTATCATATAACACATATGATAAGTGGTTTTGATGTTGGAGCTTTACTTAAATCACCTTAAGGATGTTTATTCACAAATTTCTATCTCGATGCACTAAAACGTGATGCACTAAAACAATTAGTCTAAATGTTTTTTACAGAGGAAAGCGTACAAAGTCAACTGCAGCTGCCACACCAAGATGATGACATACAGCCAGTGACCTTTAACACCTTACAGAAAGCTTTAGAAACTTTCAAAAAAGATTGGGAAGAAAATGGGGAAAAAAATTTAAAACCAGCAGTTTCTTCGTAACATGTATTTAAGATGGTAAGTATAGAATAGATGCTTATAACATAAGATGGTGAAAGACTAAAAGACTATCATTTAGATTAACTTTTTTCTTGATGATGCATACTGGAAGTTTAGCTTAGCTGTCACAGCAGCAGTATGACAAACAATTTTAACTACAAATATCCTTTTTTCCTATTACAAATATACTTTCACAGTTGTCACAATACATTTTCCATTATTTTTTTGAACAACTCAATTTTACCTTAATCTATTAATATTGGCTTTCAGTAAATCGTAATCTATAAATCCAATGATTGTTCTGATTATTTACAGTTTTTGTGAATAAAGTTTGTCATTGTGTGGAGCAGTATTTGTTTTGGTCCTCCTGGTTTACTTCAAATATATTTTATTTATTAAGTTTATAAGAATGTATACACATTGTATATATATTTATATATATGCTATATGTATGTAAATTTAAATATGTTATGTATGTATTCACTATGTATAGTGTATATTTTAATATATGTACACTTATTATATTTATTTCACACCTGCCAACAATTGCCTGTCAGAGAATTCCACATGGCATGAAGTCTGTCCTGTGTACCCTTAACTTTAACTACTCTCTACTCTCCAGCCACTGGCTACTAAGAGGATGTTGTGGACCCTTTAAATATAGGTAACAAGATTTGCTGAGATCTATCTAATAATTAATTCATTTTTTTATGACCCACACTAGGAATTTTCTTGTATCCTGGAGTTTCCATAAATAAATTGCATGTGGACATACATCCAGACCTGGAATAATTACTTGGTTATTAGTGTATATGTGTATATACAGTATGTATATAAAAAAAATCAAAAAATAATGAACCAATTTTGATATTTGGCTGATGTGGACCTCATAACAAACTTTGTACTAAATATGTATAGATAAAATAATAAAATAGATTTTGGGAGATATTAGTATATGTATAAGAAATTATACTTCAGATTATATGTATAAACATAAGCATGTAAGACGAGAACTACTGCCGACAAACTGTAATGCAGTTTGGCAGATAAAAATGTTAAAAACGTTTATTGTATAATTGGAAGAAAATAAATTAAAAAAAAAAACTTGTGGGCCCATACAAATACTTGTTACGTGCAGAATTCAAACCCACATCCCTTAGCGACATAACTCATTGCTAAACAACTGCGCCCCACGGAGCCGTAACAGAGTTGTTGTATATAAGTTTTAGGGTTCATTAATCTGTGGAAACTTTATAAGGATGATATTTTTATAGTAAATTAGAAGATACGAGTGTACTTACTCTCATATTTGTCATATTATGAGGAGACTACGAGGGTGGATTGAAAAGTACTTGGCCTAACACAGATCCATTCAATTCTAAAAATCAAATCTACCCACATTATTTAGTTCAGTTCAGACTAGTTCATTGTGTGAAGTTCGAAACGTGTGCGATAATTAGTTGTGATTTTATAAATTTATTAACAAAGTAATTGGACATAATTTCCGCGAATGGAGCAAATCGAGCAGCGTGCCATCATTAAGTACCTCCATAAGGAGGGGCTATCATCAAAAGCCATCCATGATGACATGGTCAGTACATTAGGCGATTGTGCTCTGTCATATTCATCCATCAAAAAATGGATAGCAGAATTTAAGCGTGGTAGAGAGAGTGTGAAAGATGAACCCCGCTCTGGAAGGCCTTCGACCTCAACTACTGACGAAAATATTAAAAAAGTACTTGATTTAATAATGGGAGACCGCAGATTAAAAATTAGAGAGATAGCCGAGATTATAGGCATCTCTTATGAACGAACTCAAAACATCATTGTCAACGAGTTGGGTTTCCACAAGGTGTCTGCGAGGTGGGTTCCGCGACTGCTTTCAGTTGAACAAAAACGGACGCGATTGACTATTTCACGCGACTGTTTGGAGTTATTTGAAGCCGATGCAGATGATTTTTTGAATCGTTTTGTTACTATGGACGAAACATGGGTTCATTACTGTACACCGGAAACAAAACAACAATCAAAACAGTGGAGAAGACCTGGTTCACCACCCCCTAAAAAAGGCTAAGTCGATTTTGTCGGCAAATAAGGTGATGGCTTCAGTATTCTGGGACTCGAAAGGTGTGATTATGATTGATTATCTTGAAAGGGGTCAGACTATAAACTCTGATTACTACTGCACCTTACTACGTCGTTTACGAGAGGAAATAAAAGAAAAACGTCGAGGAATGCTCAGAAGAAAAGTCCTGTTTCATCAAGATAACGCCCGTGTTCACACGTCAGTACAGTCAATGGCTTAAATTCACAACTGTGGCTTTGAACTGTTACCGCATCCGCCGTATTCACCTGATCTGGCACCATTAGACTTCTTTCTGTTCCCTAACCTAAAAAAGCACTTGGGAGGTCAAAGATTTTCGACAAACGACGAGGTCAAAGCAGCTGTAGACGCATATTTTGACTCTAAGGAAGAATCATTTTTTTTCAACGGTCTAAATGCTTGGAAGGGGAGGTGGCAAAAGTGTATTGAACTTGATGATGATTATGTAGAAAAATAAAAATATAACTGATTTAGTATGTGTTTATTTTCTTGGTTAGGCCGAGTACTTTTCAATCCACCCTCGTAAAAGGACCACTATTATTGAAATGACATCGAATACTCTGTGCATGAATTACACGCAACACTTTTCAATAGGTTTGTCTATTTTTGCCTTATATGGATATAAAGCTCGCTATATTACCTCCTTTTTAGTAGAGTTGTAAATCCCTATATGCACACATAATGTATGTAATTACTTTATGTTAGGTATTATCTTTATTAAATATAAGTATATATAAGTTAATTATTTTCTCTTAAATAAGTAAAAAAATCACGATTTCCATCACAATGATAGTTGACAATTATGTATTTCAGGATTTTGGATGAAAGTATTGATAGAATAAAATATGGAACAGCCTTCATGTTATTTTTCAAGAACTTAAGACTGTCTTAATAAAGTACGCTATACACTATGAACATTGGGACAATGGGATAATATATGTAAGTAGGAGATATGTAGGTAAAGTGGGCAACGCGACGCGACGTGTTGAAATTTTATCAATTTTTGGAAAAATAAAACTGTACCAATTACGAAAATCTTGGAAAATAAAGTCCATTTTGAAAAAAATATAACAGTTGTATTTTATAGCAACCTGTATTATCAAATCGGACCAAAGAGTAACTGTATTATACTGTAATCCGATGAAGAAAAAATAAATCCTTTGAATGAAAATAAAAATTTTATTAAAAACTCACATTCTTCTTAACTTCTGGAGATGCATTTTTGTTACACACTCGTAATATGACCTGGATTCATCCATATGACCGCCGGCACCAACCAATATTGTGACTAGAAACCTTTTACATATGAGCTGGATACAAATATTTATAGTATAATATAGTAGAATCCTCATATGACTTGTCCTCCAATCCTTAGATGACTTGGTTAGTGGTGCTGCTACAATCTCCGAAGCCAAAGCCAAAGCTCCGAAGCTAAAAGCAAAGAGAAAAGCTAAAACTTCTGGTCCTTTTTATGCCCCCTATCAAGAATCGACCAATTGTTGACCTTCTAATAACAGACCAATCTTCTTGTTTATTTCTCTTTTGTAATATACTATTACCATACCACTCTGGTTTCGGGGCAATGAGGTGGGCGTCACCCCAGAGGAAGACATTCGACTCCTATCACAAGCCCGTTTTCTTAAAAGAAAGAGCGTGCGACTAAGATAATGGGCCCCATGGAATGGTACCGGTCTCGACGCCTATCGTATGCACTTATGTGGACTGTATCTTCTTTACCCTAATATAAGGGGGAACTCTGAAGGATCTTGAAATAAAACAGCAATTTCTTCAATAAAATTCCCCTTGAAAATTTGAGACTGAACTTTTACTACTTTTCCTACGCTTACTTTTTTTTTCTTGATTATAATTCCTAGAACTGTTGCTATTCCGAAAGAATTGCAGCTCAGTGGTGTTGTCTGCATAGGCTTCTTAGGTCTTGCAGGTCTCGGACCTCGGGGTATGCCCCCATTGCCCGGATTTTCCTCACGGCCCACGACTATGGGCCAGTCCTGGGAGGCTTAAATTCGGCATTGTCGGGTTCCTTGTTCCTCATTAGAGTAGGAAAAATTGGTTTGGCCGAGGTCGGTTAACAGGTGATGAAGAGAAGTCGTCTAAAGTGAGAGTCGATGTTGACCATTATCCGAAATTTTCGTCATGGCCTACGACTATGTGCCAGGTCTAAAGGCCTCAAATTAGATATTGGTGGGTTCCTTGAATCTTCGTAGAGTGGAAAAAATAAAAAAAGGTTATCTAATGTAAATGTCGGTGTTGGCCTATCTGCGGCATTGTGGGCTTTACTCAACTCTAATATAATATATAGAGAGGAGTTCTCATGGATAAGGTCGCCCGTCCGGGGGCCGTGTGTGCAACGGCGCGAATCCGTTGAGGTGTTCGTGTGGCCCGTTGTCGACGCACCCGCCGGGCATCATACCGCGCGCCAGCCGGGCCACGAAGTCTCTGATGGTCTCGACTTTCAGATCGGCCGCTATGACTTCATTCCGGACGTAGCGACCTGCTTCGACGGTCGTCCTTAATGTCAGATTCTACTAGGCCTGCAGTCGCCGCCTCAGAGGATCGCTCAGAAGCGCGTACCAGGCCGGAGCAGCATAGGTGATGATAGGTCGAATGTACATTTTGTACATTTTCAGCTTGGTTTTGATTGGCAGCTTGGATGCTAGGACTGGCAAGAGCGTCGCCCGCGCACATCTGGCTCTGCGGACGACGAAGTCGACGTGCGTGGTCATGCGCAGCGTCCTGTCAATCCGGCACCCAAGGTAAGTCACGGCCTTCTCGTACGCGATCTTCTGGCCATTGAGAGTCAGCGGAGGTGGTAGATTTCTTAGACGGCGAGTGAATAGAGCGGTCTTCTTACCAACGCTGATGACCATCCTCCACTCGTCCAGCCATGGTGGCAACAGGTCCAGCAGACGCTGCATTCTGGCAGTGTCGATGTGGGCTCTTCTGGACGAGGTGAAATAGGCGCTATCGTCTGCATATAACGCCAGCTCCACGTCGTCCTCCCACTCACACAGCTGTCCTGCCAGTGTCAGGATATCATTGGTATAAGCCGCGTACAGGACTGGAGACAAACAGCTGCCCTGAGGAACGCCGGCTCTGATGGTACGTGTTGTGGATTCAGCGTCCTCTACGCAGACGTAGAACTTCCTGTCTGCCAGGAAAGACGCAATTAGCCGCAACATAGCAGGAGGGACACTGGTCTGTTCTTGCAGTTTATATAGTATCTTCCTCTCCTTATTGTGATCGGGACGATCGTAGAGGCCGCGTGGAGGGCCTCCTGGATGTTCTTGGTTATTCTGGTTGCAGCGGCCTCTACGTCGTCCGCTGTGCTTATAGGATGGTGGGCTGGAGGTCTCTCCTGCAGGTGTTGATAGTAGAGCCTCCAGTCAACTCGTGTCTTGAATGCTCTGGGTGGCGTAGTCACCGCCTTTAGACCAAGGGTAATCAGAATCAGGAGGTGCTGTGTGTTTAGATCGTACAGCACCTCTACCACAATCGGGTAGTTGACGTTCCTAGAGAGCACGATGTCCAATACATCCGGACGTCTCCGTGGGTCTGTTGGAATGTGTGTAGTTTCTTCGGGACCTAAAACGTCGTAATTATGTCTATATGAAGATGCGGAGCATCTTCATATAGTTTATGACCGGGCGGGTTGATCACTCTGGATCCCCACGCCGGGTGTTTGGCGTTTAGGTCCCCGGCGGTGATGGTAGGTGTTTCGTCTTCCATTACCGTCCGGACGTCTGAGGAGCAAAATGGAGTCCCTGGCGAGCGGTATGCTGCGTAGTACCTTAGTTCCTCGCCCGCCGCCTCCATTTTTATGCCGATAGAGCGTACCGTTTGATATTCCGGCAGGTCAAGTTCTTGATGGACGATGTCCCTCCTCACTAGAACCGCCGTCCCTCGGTCCCTCGTAGGCGGTCCTTTGAGGATTGACCTCGTCCATTCTGTACATAAAATAGTTGGGCAGCTTCAGATGCGTTTTAGGGTTCAACTTAGTCTCTCCCAGCAAGATCACTTGTCCTGTTGTAGAGCGACTGTGCGGAGTTCATGCAGCTTATGCTGTATTCCGTCCGGGTTCCAATAGAGGAGGCGCAGGTTACTCTCCTCTATAATGCCGGGCCAGGAGGTTTGCCAGCCTTTTGCCGTCATAACCGCTGTAATCGGATCTGTCCCGGCTCTTACGTCGGCCAGGACCTGACTGCCGACCTCGATTGCAATGCCAACCAAATGTTGGATGGCGTCTGCAGTCTCGAAGCCGGCTGAAGGTGTTCTCCTATATGAAGGCGTTGGCACTGGTCTCGGGCGTTGGTCTTCTTGCGGTCTTTGCCTGTGGGTAGAGCGCGTTCTATACGTAGTGCGAGCTCTATTTTCTGATAGAGCCCTTTCTGGCACTGGCTGTAACCTGCGCCTGTGAGGCTACCGGTCCTGTTGGTGTCGGGGTAGAGGTAACAGCCTGAGGAGGAGGCTGCGACTTCTTCTTGCTCCTGTTCCGCTTCCTTTTTTGTGAGGTCTGCCGCTCTGTGGCGGCATTAGCGGGGGGCTGTAGAGTTGCCCCGGTGGTTGCCTTCACTTCTTTGGGTTCCACCGTTTCCATTGGTGTTGCGGGTGGGGGGGGGGGGCTGATTGCCTATCCTTCCCTGTGACGGTAGCCCACCCATCCTCCTGGATGGTTACCGCTCTTGGGCGACTCTGGGAGATCCTCTTCGGGTCCTCCGGGGTAGTCCCAGCAAAGTGATCCCCTGCCTCCTAGCAATCCTCCTCAGGACTGGGCAGCGGCGATCGTTTTTCGTGTGGTTTTTGCTGCAATTGGCGAATTCGGTTCCTCATCCCTACCCCTAGGGCAAAGGCTTGCGATGTGCTCCCCGGCACAGCGGACGCACTTCACTGGCCTGAAGCAGTTGGCGGAGGCGTGACCGAAAGCCTGGCAGCGATGGCATTGTGCTGGCCCTGCTTTCCTCTGCCAGGCCTCGATGACGACCCCTCTCATGTAGAGGAGCTCGTCGGTCTTGTACAGTTTCTGGAGCTGCTCCAGGCTCAGGTGGTCGAGCTGTACAAAGTAGAGGCATCCAGGTCTGCCCCTACGTGTATAGCTTTCACATATTTAATAGGGAAGCCCTTGCCCTGATACCCTCCTCTATTGCTCGGATATCCGTGCCCATTGGTAGCCCCCGGATGCCCACTTTAGTGGGCTTATCCTCCTCCGGGGTATAACAATACCACGACATCGATGGTAATTCCTTTGAGAGCCCGACCATGTACCGTTGGTACGGAACTCATCGGCACTCTGCGGGGTAAATCTTACTCCTTTCTCGAACGGACGGGCATTTGGAGGGTGGCCTAACTTTCTGTTAAGCTCCTTAAAATCCCTCGTCCAGTCCGGGAGGCATTCAACCACTATGGGCGGGTATCTTGTCTTTTCTTGGTCTGCAGATTTTGCAGCAGGCTCTACCGCTGCTGCGGTCGTGACACTGCTGGTGCTGCTACCATATGGGCGTAGCTGGTTGAGGGCCGCTGTCCATCATCCTATGGAAGCCGGGACGGATTGGTGATCTGCACCGGCGACGATCGGCCGGCGGATGCTGCTAGGGTCGCATATGTGGTGGACCCCCAGCTATATGATTCCTCACCTCCCTGCTCGTACAGGGCCCAGTCGTGACTACGCCGATCCGGCGATATGGAGCGGGAGCGGGGAGGTTGTGGTGGCGATGGCGATTTCGGTGGTGACTTATGCACCCTCTTCGTTTTCGCCGATTGGTGTTCTTCATCTTCCGAGGATGATGGTGCTTCAGAAGATGAGAGGTTGGATCCGACTCGTTGCCTCTTTTTGAACAAGGAGGCCTCGGTCTCAGGAGGAGTATGGTGTCTAGCCGT